TAATTAATGTTTTTTAAAAATGAGCTGGTGTTTCAGAGAGCTCCATTAGAAAAACATGCATTTATTTAATTTTGATTCCAGCACAGTGACTTTCAAGTAATTGAAGGCAGTCACGTTTTCATCGCTTCTCCAGCCTCAAAAAGGTTCAACATGCGCTGCCCGAGAGCCAGGAGCAGCGCGAAGCTGCTTGGCAAATGTCCACAATCCGTAGCAATAAAAAAATACATATATATATATATGTGTGTGTGTGTTTATATGGGGGTGCTCGGAAGCGCACGGAGCTGCCGCTGAGGATCACAGCGGGTCCCGCTGGGGCTGCTGGCCCCAAATCCCGAGGCAGAACAACGCAAGGGTTGTGCAGAGCTCTGCGGCCGGTGCTTTCCCGAGCGGAAAAGGGAAGCGGGAGCTTTTGCCTCTTCTCAGAATTAGCTGAACGGGGCCGGGCACTGACCAGACCAGAACCTCCTGTTCCTTCCAGGTAGGAGCTGCTGCTGTCCGTGACAGCTCGGCCTCTCCCGCCTCCCGTGTCCCTGGTTGAGGATGCGGTGGCACCAGCGGCGTCTCCCGGACCTGGTGCCGGCCCGGTCGCCCCCTCCCCGCGTGGGGACTCGCTCGCCCCAGCCGAAGCCGCCCCGGCTCGGGGTGCTGCATCAACAGAAAGCAACGCCAGCAGCCTCGCAACCTTTAAACAACTTCATTTATTAGAACCCGATAACTGTTGCTTTCATTAGAAGGAAGTTAACACCTAATTCGGGGTGAAATTACATTTTAAGACAAAAAAAAAAATCCCAGTCTCCACCACAGCATTGGCTGCTGTTTTTTAAGCCCTGGCGCCGGTTTGTACACCCGTTGTGTGGGTTCCGGCTCCGCACCTTCTTCTCGAGTGGAAACGCGGGGCCCCGCGCGAGGGGCTGCCCCACGAGGGGTCCCGGCCTCGCAGAGGAGCCTCGAGCCTCAACGACCCCCACGACGCGGCAGCAGGAGGCGCGTCTTGGCTTAGTTCCAGGAAGAAAGTGAATATTTAAGACTTATTGGTAAAAGACCCCTGTAGCCAAAATCATTTGAGCTTTGAAATGTATTTAACAGGTTTGCTGAATTGTATCAAGCAAATCTTGACCGTTATTTTAAATCTGAACCTGAGTACAGAGGAAAAAAAAAGAATACAATCACCCATGTCATAGGCCCTATAAATTATTCTCACAGTAGCCCTTGGGGAGAGGCAGGTTGGGTTAATAATCTTCACTTCCACTACTGCAGGTCAACAGAACCGTTTCCACAGAATTCAGAAAGTGCTTAAACACAGAATACAAAAAGTATCTAACTTACAAACTCCTCTGCTAGAAAAGCAAAAGGTGGAACGTGCCAGATGTCCGAAGAGATGGTGGCGAAGTACAGAAATGACCGTGCTGGACGGGGGCTCTGGAGCAGGACGGTGCAAACCCCGCGGCAGGGCGCCCTGCTCTCCCTTCCCGCTCGGAACCGCTTTCTTCGCACGGACACAAACGTATTTCCGACGAGCAGCGTGATTCATTTCACCCTGCAGACTAAGCTGTAGTTACACCACTTTTTTTCAGGGTGTATTGAATTATTAGCATTGTAATGCCAGGGATTCCCGGCTCTGGCTCTAGGCTGTGGTCACTGCCTCCTGGAATGGAAACGGGACTCACTTGTCTTTCCTCGGCCACATTAAGGAAGGAGCAATTGTTTCACCACTCACTTTTCATTCTCAATGGATAACTCACCTGCAAGCCACAAACACACAGCACTCGTGAAGGAAGCCGAGTAGTTTTGCTCACACAGGAATTACTGTAGAAAAGGAGTCCTTTGGCTATACATTGTTTCCACAGTGTATTTGTTACATGAGATACAAACTGTACAAGTTCCCCAGTTTACAAAGTTTTCTAATTTGCAGAAACAGTTCAGCCTCTATTTATAATATCGGCTTTTAAATGTGAAGATTATTACAGATAAGGTACAGTCTAATTGGCTCAAGGTGACCACAAAAATGAAGTTTTAATACAATCTGCAATAGTACAACTATGTACATATGTACAGGAGGGTTCCTTCACTCCGGGTCCTCATCCCCTGCCGCGGGAGAGCAGCGCCGGGCAGAAACAGTTCAGCCTCTATTTATAATATCGGCTTTTAAATGTGAAGATTATTACAGATAAGGTACAGTCTAATTGGCTCAAGGTGACCACAAAAATGAAGTTTTAATACAATCTGCAATAGTACAACTATGTACATATGTACAGGAGGGTTCCTTCACTCCGGGTCCTCATCCCCTGCCGCGGGAGAGCAGCGCCGGGCAGGCGGCCGGCAGTGCTCCGGTGCTCCCGCAGCGTTCCCAGGCTCCCGCAGCATTCCCAGGCTCCGGCAGCGCTCCGCGGCTAGAGGACGCCGTCGCTGAAGCGCGCCTTGCCGTACTCCACCAGGTCGTTCTGCAGCTCCCGCTCCTCGTCGTCTGCAAGGGAAACGAGGCACTGAGTGAGGGGTGGCCGGAGCCGCGGAGCCCCCGCGCGCCCGGAGCGGGGATGGAGCCCCGGAGCCCCCGCGCGCCC